GAGCCACAACCCCGGGAGGCCCACAGAGGGAGGGACGGCGCGGCTCTGGGTATGAGAGGCAGAGCCCAGGCACCCGGGCTCCATGCCCTCCTGCCACAGGCCAGCCCCACTGGGCCTTCTGCCATCTGACACAGCCCACACAGGGGGACCCTGCCGGCCGCCTGCTAGAGCACAGCCGGACCCTCTGCACACCCGTCCAGGGCCCGGGCCGCGGTTTGCCACCGGGACTGGCTCTGCACAAGGCTCTGGACCCAGTGGGAGCCTTGTCCTGAGGAACGTCCCCTGGACACCCTGCAGAGGAGGTGCCCAAGCCCCTGCAGGTGGGCCTGTGGGCTCATTATGCTCAGGCCACTCACTTCTTCCAAGGGCCCGAGACGATATAAAGATCTTGACGCCCTCCCTCCAGCTCAGGGGTGGGGGTAGAGGATCCGAGAAATGGGGGGTGAGAGACCTCGGGGCAGGCCCAGAGGGCCGGGAGGGGCAAGACGGGCCGCGGGGGCAGAGGGCTCGGCTCCAGCCTACCTCCACCACGTGAGAGGAAAAGCCTGTCTGGGACATCTCCAGCCCGAAGGAGGTTTCATTTTTGTTGGTGCCTGAAACAGAGGGGCATTAGGGCCGTTGTTGCCAGCAGGCCTCCTGCAGCTCGCTTGGACCACATTCCAGGATGTCTTCCAGAGGGGGCTTCTGTCTTCAGAGCAGCCTGAGGCTGGGCACCCTGCAGTGAGGCCCACCGGGCACCTCCGGCCGTGAGACTAACTCACGCACTGCTCAACTCACGCACTGCTCGGAAGGACTTGGGACAAATGTCTCTAAGGCATGTGTGTGCAAGTCTGTTAAAATAGGGGGAACCAGGAAACGTGCTCAGGGGTAAATAACGCTCATTTGGGGCAAGAGATGAAATTTCCCACTTTGTTCATTCCTCAGACCTTAACTCAACCCTCAAGAGGGAGACCTGTCACCACCGCAGGTTTGCACAAAGATTCCATGTGTGTTGGAACCCCCTCCCCGGGGAGGAGCTCCTGGGTGCATGGCTGGGATTGATGTCCTCATCACCCAAGGAGACCCCCCACCACTTTTGTTTTCCACTTGCTGGGGGGAGGGGTAGAGTGAGAGAGAGAGTGAGAAATCAACCCTGGGGGGATGGCCACACTATAACCCCTTCTCCTCTCAGGATTTTGGGCATGCCACATGCGTGCCTGGCATGGTTTTCAAGCCACCGGGTCCGGGACGCGAACCGCGGTCGGCTACATGGGAGTCCAGCGACATAGTCATTACGCCAACTGCTGGTCCCTCTGTTGCTTTTCACGTGTCTATAGCTTGTCCTTTCCAGGGCTCTGCAGACTTTTCAGGCTCTGGGACTTTGCCTTCAATCTCTTTATAATCCTCCCATATGTCCAAAGGCCGGTACTGGGAGGGCCCACGAGAGCAATTATAGGGTGCAAATGAGCTCCGTGCAAATCAGAAACGCAGTTTAAGCTGTGAGTAGAGCGGGAATCTGGAGGGATCAGGAAATACGCTTCTGGTGGAGGGGAGGCGCGGGTGCTCCGGATGGCCACACTATAACCCCTTCTCCTCTCAGGATTTTGGGCATGCCACATGCGTGCCTGGCATGGTTTTCAAGCCACCGGGTCCGGGACGCGAACCGCGGTCGGCTACATGGGAGTCCAGCGACATAGTCATTACGCCAACTGCTGGTCCCTCTGTTGCTTTTCACGTGTCTATAGCTTGTCCTTTCCAGGGCTCTGCAGACTTTTCAGGCTCTGGGACTTTGCCTTCAATCTCTTTATAATCCTCCCATATGTCCAAAGGCCGGTACTGGGAGGGCCCACGAGAGCAATTATAGGGTGCAAATGAGCTCCGTGCAAATCAGAAACGCAGTTTAAGCTGTGAGTAGAGCGGGAATCTGGAGGGATCAGGAAATACGCTTCTGGTGGAGGGGAGGCGCGGGTGCTCCGGGATTGTGTACTTTAGGTCATAGCTATTCGGGCCCACCTGGGTACAAAGTGGGACTGCCAGATTAAATATCGACGCTCTGTTGCATTTAAATGTCAAACAAACCGTAGGCTTTCTTTTAAGTCGGCTCCAAGCGGGGCATTTTGTATCTGTGAAACCGGGCGACCCTAGTTCCAGTCCCCGCCCGAGCTGGAGGAGCCTCGGCAGGTCACCGGGCTTGCCGGCTTCAGTAAAACGAGGACCTCACTGACAGAACTACCGACTGGGGGCACTGATGAAGTGCCCAGCCTCACAGCCTGGGTGGGGTGACGCTCACGGTTGGCACACCCGACGGAGGACACCTAGGCCGTTCCAGTTGTGGGACTGGAGTTCGCTCTGTGGGGTTGACCCCGCGCGGCTCACCTTCCAGGCTGAAGATCCTGTCCCCCAGGGCGTCGACGATGTCCTTCAGCGCGGCCTCGTCCGTGACATTGAAGAAGTGCTTGTCGTCGGGGTCGCTGGCGATGTATTTGATCTCGTTCAGGAAAGTCTCTGGGTTGATCCCCCTGCGGTTGTAGTAGCCCAGGACCTGCCGGGAACGGGCCGGACGGGCATTGCATTGCGCAGCCTCCCCACCCACGGCCCCACCCCAGGGAGCCAGGCTGGGCCGCGCGCCGCGAGCATCCTCCAGTGCCGTCTGCGTTTTGAAATACACTCCGTTAGGGGCGAGATAAGGGCCCTGGGCTGAGCTGAGTTCTGGGAGTTGGTAGGCTTGGGGTATTTTCTATTTATTTATTTTTAAACATTTTATGATAAGGAGCGTGTGCGTGCGCGTGGGGAGGGGTGGAGAGTCACCCTTGACAGGGGCTGGTCACTCCGGGATCTGCTTTCCCCAGCCCTCCAGCTCCTCAGGATCTTGGACACCCATGTGGGCTCATCTGGCATGTTTTCAGGCCAAGCCGGGGATCTGAACCCACAGCTGGCACGTGGCTTCCAGTGCTGCCGTCCACAGTACGGACTGTGCTACCTGGTGGGCCTGCCTTCTAGTTTCCTGAGGTCTCAGAATCTCCCTGACAATGAAGGAGAGGGGAAACAAACACACGAAAAACCAAATCCACAGCGTGGATGGATAGGCCTCAGCAGGGCAGGAAGAAGATTCTCAACTTGTGTTGAGAAGAGGCTGAAACAGGAAGCTCTGTCATCTGAGAGCCAGGACACTTGTCACACTACCGGAAAGCACTCCGGGGAGCTCCTAGGCGGCAGCCGCGGGCCCGGGGCGGGGCAGGACTTACGGCCACAGCGTATCTGGTCACGTTGTCCTTCTCACTTTGCTGGATCACCTTCTCCAGGTCCGGGCTGTCGTGGGACTCCCCGTCTGTGATGACAATCATCACCTTCTTGGCCCCTTTCCTTCCTCCCTTCTGGAAAGCCTCTGAGCTGGAACCAAGCACAGGAGCAGCGTCATGGTGTGGGACGAGGCTGCCCCTGCCGGACAGAGCCGGGACCTCTCCCAAGGAGCTGGACTGAGATGCACCGGCTACTCTCTGCCCAGCGGCTCAGATGGGGCCTGGGTCTGTCTTTACATCTGGATTCTGGACCTTGCTGTTTGGGGCAGGCAGAGGGCAGTGGGGTGGACTTGGGAGGGGAGCTGAGGGGCAGATGGTGACCTGCAGAGGAGCTCGGCGCTTGGTTCGAAACCCAGCTGCGTGTTAGAATCTCTCTGGGGAGTTTAAAACTTTGTTGATGCCCACTGCCTGCCTAGGCCCATGGAATCAGAATCTCTGGGGTACGGCCTGCGTGAGAGCACTTTGGAAGTCCTAACGACCCGTGTTGAGAACCACTCCTCTCAGTGCTGAGCACCCCGACAGCACCAGCCTGTCAGACACGCGTGCCGGAGCCACAAGAGCTCTACCTTCTCCACAAGCGCTACTGTGGTTCTATTTTGGGAAATGTTAAATAGCAAACTCCATGAAACGTATCTCTCTTTTCACTAATTTGTTTTCTACGCTGGAGCATTGTGCTCTGCCCCCCTGTTGGGCTGTCCAGCCCAGGGGCCAGCAGGGCCAGCACAGCAACCCCCAACATGGCACAGGCTCTTATAGCAGGCCCTCGGTCTACAGGGCATGAGAAGTGGCTCAGGAACCAACACGGACTGCCTTGTGGTACCTCTGTGGCCACCCCTCCTGTGGACCATGAGACCTGTTTGCATCTGTGAATCTGGCCCACAGTTTGAATTTCCCCAGGAGAGTCTGAAAAGAAACGTTACCCTTCGACTCTGCAGTGAGGACTCCCAGATCCGAACCCACAGATTTAAGCTCTGAAATGACAGGTTTGAGGGCCACGGGCTTTGGTTCCTAGAGGTAGCTCCCGTTACCCGGCAAGATGACGACCTGCTGTGTGTGATTGCAATGTTGGGGAATTCACAAAACCCAGAGTGAGGGTCCAGAACGTCTCCGAGCTCCCGGTGGAGAGGAGCATCCCTCTGGCGTCCCCCCAGCAGCTCTGAGCTAGTCCGAATGTGCTGATTTACAAAGCCCCTGTGCTCTGGGTGTTTGCTGCAGACCAGACCGAGGGGCTGCAAGGGCTTGGCAGGCAGAGTTGGGGCTTTAGGCCGACCCCGTGGAGGGAGAACTGAGAACTCTGCTATGCTTCCAAAGAGAGTCGAGATGCCTCCATTACCTCACTGGAGGGCCCGGCCTGGGAGTGGAGCTCCATGCAAAAGTGTACAGCGAGGGGAAAAGATTTTGTTATAAACAGAGCCGAGGAAGACGTCGGGAGGTATTCCCACAGAGCGGACAGCGTGCCTGCCCACGCGAGTCTGCAGTGGTGTGGGAATCAGCGTGGATCATCGGCGTTTAATTTCGGTTTTGTGTGGGTATGGGCGCTCGGACTCGTTCTCGGGAAATGCAGCTCTAAGGTCCTTGAGTGCCGTGAGGGCCGCGTACGCATGGCCGGTGCCACCAGCCTGGAAGGCAGGGACCCACGGGGACAGCCACGTCACGCCTCCTGCTCGGCCCCCACTGGCTCCTGTTTCTCTTGGGGAAAGCCTGGGTCCCGTCAAGAGCCTCGCCCGATGTGGTCTGGCCCCATTACTTCCCTGGGCCCCACACCCTGCTGGGCTCCGAGCTGACCCTGGTAGGCCAGCACACTCAGGCCTCCGTCTGACCTCTGAGCTCCCCTGCCTGGGACGCTCCCGCCCGGCTCCCTGCTTGGCCCACCCCTCGCCGCCATCAAGTCTCTACCCCAAGGTCAACTGTCAGCGCTGCCTTTCCTGACCTCTGTTGATGCTGCCTCAATACAGCGTCCCTCTCCCACCTGCTCAACCCCCCCCCCCTTCTTTAAAAACTAATTTTTGCCAGAGGGTGCTGCATCCTCCAGAGAGGGAGAGGGAGAAAGCACCCCCATGGGGCGGTCACATCACAATCTCTTCTCCCCATCTCTCCGCTCTGTCAGGATCTCGGGCAGGCATGCACAAGTGCCTGGCATGCTTTCCAAGCCTCCCGGACTG